AGTGCGACGCGACCGGCATGCGTGTGAACGCATCTAAAACGAAAAGCCTAGTGCTTTCTCGTTCTCCTGCTCGTTTCTCTCTTTAGATTAACGGAGAGGCAGTGGAGCAGGTGGACAGGTTCAAGTATCTCGGAGTCGTATTTACTAGTGATGGAAAATTTCAGGAAGTGATCGACCGCTGAATTGGAGTACCTAGTGGTGTTCTGAGGACTAAGCTTCTCGGTGTTCAAGTCGATATTTATCCCCATGCTTACCTACAATCGTGATTCGTGGACGATGATTGAAAAGCTTCGAACCCGGATATAGCCTGCTGAAATGGGCTTTCTGATACGAGTCGCTGTCCTCTGTAGGCGTCTCGATTCTTTCAGAATACAGATATCTGGGAAACCTTGGTGTACAGCCGCTGCTTCTTCAGATTAAGAAGTCACAGCTGCCATGGCTTGAGCATGTGTTGCGAATGCCTCCAGAAAGAAATGCTAAGCAACTGCTTCTTCCGAGTCGACGGGCAGAAAGTCCAGAGAACCTCCAAGATGATCCTGGTGCAAATATAAAACCCTTTTTCTCTAGGTTCCATTTCTGTTGTGCCGAAGCTGAAAATTTGAGCAGAATCAGTAACGCTGGAAGCACTGTCTGACGCGTCTACCTACGCAGTTCGATAAGGGAAGCGTTGATGGAGGATTAGGATGTAGTTTTTTTATTTATTTAATGCTGCTTTGTAGGCTATGGACGAAAGAGTTTCTTTTCTGTCCTGTTGAATACATTTTTCACTTCTAGTGTTATCGATTTTGTATCTCTCTATTAACAGTGTCCCTTTAAACTTTTTTTCGATCGAGAGGTTTTGCTTCATGATTAAAGTGTAATACATTACTTTTTTAAAGGCGAATAGTATCTGCAAAGCGAAGGCATTGAGAGTGTTGTCCATTATTTACCCACGTTAGCTACCTTCTGTCGCTATCGTTAGCATATGATTTTAGTACCTGTTTTATGACTGAACGTACCATGGCACCCGTGCAGTCACACTTTTTTGCTTAAGAAAAATATTCTTATGGGAAAAAATTGGCTGCGTTAAAAATGTAGTAAAAGAAACACAAACAAGAATGATTTGCTTTCGAATCAAGAAATTTATTTCGATAGCGTAAGCATAGCTGCCATTGTTCAACCCTCAGAATGCTATGACACCAGCAGGTTGCGAGGAAATGAATGTGAATCTGAGAAATCTCCCTGAAGACTTCTTAGACTATCCCCTTGGTTGTTTTTTTAAACAGCTTTATCAGTCATATGACTGAAAAACTACGTAACTGCTAGGATGTGCCAAAATCACAGATTTCGTTCCTGACGCCACAATGGCTCTGCTACACACCAGCAACTATAGAAGTCAACTCGGACTCTCTGGAAAAGGCTCGAAACTATGATAGACGAGCCAAACGTCGATACCGGTCAATCTTCCGATTTACAAACTTACTTGTTTGCCATGTGTGTAAATAAACTGTTTTAACGCATTGTTAATTTTTGATTATGAACATCTACGCATTAACAAATGACTCAGTTTTCATGTTTCATTGTATAGAATGTGATTATTGATCTAAGAAACAGTATTCTTAACATAATTTTATTGGGCAGTTTGCCTTTAATTTCAATAGTGGCTCAGGTTCATGTTCATCATTCTGTTTAAGATTACTTCGGTCAATTTAATTAGCTACTAACCATTTATCGCATATTCACAACATCCAAGTTGAAGCTCTGTGAGGAGGTAAGAAGAAGGCGGTCACCTATCTTGGTTCGATGAAGTTGATGAAATTTCAGAAGCCGTGAGAGTAACGTTTTTCATATTTCAATGGTGTTTAGAAGTTGATATGCTCACTAAAGGCAATGAGCCCTTTGTCGAAGCGGTTATGCTGTTAAAATGCCGCTCTATTAATAAAGATGATAAACAGCAACAGTCACTTTAATTCTTTCGAAAATTAATTACTCTGTGTATTTTTGTAGTTATAGAAGAAGCACAGATAGACTAGTATTATTCTTGAATGGGAATAGCTGTCTCCGATGTGGTCGCAGGAACTTCTTTTTTCCACATTTCACGTGAAACTGGTAAATGCATGACGTAAATAATAATGCGGCAGGACATGACTACAGGTTGAATTTTGCTGAAGATTAATTGACATCTTGAGATGCAAGATAAGGAAAATAAAAGAAAATGATACCCGAATGTTCAGGGTAGCTTGAAGTAATGAAATTTTTCAGTGCCTTTTTCAAATTTCACATTTCAACATAGATACAAAATTTACATGGCGAAAACCGTGTAAAGAAAAATTATTTTCCTTTATTTTTACGTCGACTGCGATAGTATAAGACTGACAGATAGGAGTCATTAAA